GGACAAAACAGAGTTCGTATACAGCCCCTCGTGCAAAACATAAATCATAAACCTCCCCTCAGGTAGATCCCTCGGTCACTCATATACATCTCATAACATAAAGATCTCAATGGAGATAACAAGTCCAAATCGGTAACTAAAATCCGAACATCTCTTAAAACTCTAGTTTCAATAAAAATCCTTTAAAGCAATTATTCAACATTTTTCAAACAGAGGCTCAATATAAAGGAGAGCGAAAACAATAATTTCATAAAACAAGACCCTTGGGCAGAAGCATCACTCTTATATATAGCCCATCGGGCAAGCCTCTCAGTCACTCATGACTCAAATCTCCTCAGTCAGCACTCACGCTCAATAGGTACTTTATAATAACCGCTGCATTGTGCAGCCCGATCCATAAATATATAGTCGACTGCAGTCACTGGTGGTGTCAAACTCCAGAGGGGCTCCTACAGCCCAAGCGCTATATCATTGCGGCATGCAGCCCGATCCAATACATATCGCTGCAACGTGTAGCCTGATCCATATATCGCTGCGGCGTGTAGCCCGATATATATACATACATACATACATACATACATATATATATATATATATATAATCGCTACGGCGTGCAGCCCGATCCATAAATATATAATCCTCACAATAAGGCCCTCGGCCTCTCTCAGTCATCAATCTCACAATCAGGCCCTCGGCCTCTCTCAGTCATCAACCTCACAATCAGGCCTTCGGCCTCTCTTAGTCATCAACCTCACAAGCCACTCGGGCTATCAGTAAAACAAGGTGCTCGGCCCAAAATATCATTTTTATGCATCACAGGAGTAATAAATACTGAATTATGAAATCAATAAAAACATAACATGACTGAGTACAAAATCTTAAGTCAAAACAATGAGGAGATAATAAGAAAAGAGTCACTAAGAGTCCAAACAACTTGGCACGAGGCCCAAATATGGTATTTAGCCCAAAACATAGTAATATTTTCCAAAACACAAGTGTATCAAATAGTTTCCATTCAAATACGCAACTTAAGAGTCGCTACGGGATGGACCAAGCCATAATCCCCAACGGTGCACACTCCAACACTCGTCATCTAGCGTGTGCGTCACCTCAATATAGTGAAACGAAGTGAAATCCGGGGTTTCATACCCTCAGGACAAGATTTACAATCATTACTTACCTCAAACCGGATGGAAATCTATACCGCGATGCCCTTGCCTCTCGACTTGACCTCAAATCGCCCCGAATCTATCTAAGATCAGAATCATAACATCAATACAAGCTAAAGGGACAAAGCCCACACGAAAATTATCAAATTAGACTCAAAATTCTGAAATTGGTCAAACCCGAACACCGGGCCCACATCTTGGAATCCGATAAGAATTACAACACTAGAATCCTTATCCTCTAACGAGTTTATACATATCAAGAACATCAAAATCGGATCTCAAATGGCTCCTCAAATCACCAATTTAAACTCTCCACTTTCAAGACCTAATTTCCCAAGTTCTTTCTCAAATTTTCCCACTAATACCATAATTAAGCAAGGGAATAATTGCTATAAACATAATACACAAGGTCCAACTAGCTTACCTCACGGAAAACACTTGATTTCCCCTTGAAATCACTGTTTGGAGCTCCAAAATCGACCAAAAATGGTAAAGAAATGACTAAAAATCGTGAAGGGGTCTTTTTATACATTTTGCCCAGCACTTTCGCACATGCGGCCCATATCACCCATCTGCGGCCACTTCTGCGTTAAAAATGACCACACCTGCGGTTTTAACTTAAGTCACCAGCTTCCGCACATGCGCCCCAAGCATCGCACCTGCGGGCTCGCAGGTGCGGTAAATCCCTCCGCTCCTGCGACAACAATCCATATCTGCGGTTGCTCTCTGCTTCTGCGATCATCTCACCTGCGGTCCCCTATTCGCCGGTGAGGAAACAACAGAAGGTGTAAAAATCTGCAGCAACAATTCCACTCTAAACCTTCTGTCAACCACTCAAAACCATCCCGAGGCCTTAGGGGCCTCAACCAAACACACCAACAAGTCGCGTACATCATTCAAACCTATTCCAACCTTGGGGACACTCAAAACAACATCAAAATATCAAATCACCATCGGATTCAAGCCTAAAGGTTTCCAAACTTCCAAATTCCGCAACCTATCTAAAAACCTATCAAACCTCATCCGAATGACTTAGAATTTCGCACACACATCATAAATGACATAACAGACCTACTCCAATTTCCGGAATCCCATTCCGACCCCGATATCAAGATTTTCACTGCCGACCGGAAAATGCCAAATTTCCAATTTCGACAATTCAAGCCTAAATCTACCACGGACCTCCAAAATACATTCCGAACCCGCTCATAAGTCCAAAATCACCAGATGGAGCTAACCAAATCATAAAAAATCCAAATCCGATATCAAATACTAAGAAGTCAAGACTGGGTCAAACCTTTCAAATTTAAAGCTTCAAGCTGAGAACCATTCTTCCATATCTATTCCGATTAACCCGAAATCCACAACCGACGATTTACATAAGTCATAATACATCATACGGGGCAAGTCATGCCCGAGAACTGGCGAGCGAAATGCAAATGCTCAAAACGACCGTTCGGGTCGTTATAGTGGGGCGGTGGCCTTAGTGACCAAATCAGAGAAGCTTCAGTTTTGAGCGCTGAAAGCACCATGAAACGGTGACCTGGATGCCCAAAATGTGAACTATAGAAGGAGCAACGAGAAGAAAGAAAGGCGCTTTTCCTTATTATTTTGTAAGAGGTTTTGAGAAGAGGACAAGATAGCTAGGGTTCTACACTACTCCCTAAGCTGAGATTTTTACCATGAATGTGCTCAAACAAGATGTTAATATTATTTAACACCTTTTAACTCTTAAATTCTAGGTTTTCATTCAAGAATCAAAGAGTTTTACAAGACTCAAAACCTATGATTTGTGGAGACATTATTCAAGGTAAGTTTTGTTATTTCGTAGTACTGAAGCTTTATAGCCTTATGATGGAGTATGATTAGATATTATGAAATATGAAAGAATTATGGGTGAAAAGATTTGAAAAGCGAATAATGGTCAATATGCCTCCGAGGAACTATGGGGTTAAGTTAGTAATATAGAACAAAGATCGTAACTAATTAACTGTAGATTTTAGGAGCCAAATTTGCGAGTTCTTTGAAAGAAAAACTTTAGCACTCCATTAGAGGTAAGTTGAGTTTATAATTTCCTAAATCAAAGGCTCGACAAGAAAGTCCTTAATAAGAAAATTATTTTCCAAAAAGAAAATGCTTGAATGTCCTTAAGTATAAATGTTCAAATTGTTGTTTGAAATTTATCGATTTGCTTAAATGCTAGGAGTAATAATTTATTGTTAGTTCATGATACAGAATTTATTACAGAAATTAATTACTTGCTTGATAACTTAGTGTATGTGGTCAAAATCGGAGAGCTCGATTTTGAAGACTTGCTCATACCCCGAGCTCGAGTTCGGGAAGCTCGAAGTAAGAATCGAGCCTGGCCGGGATGTGCGCACCTCGAGAAGCAAATCGGAGGCCCGTCATGATCTGTCTCGAGGGCAGTACAATTTTGGTGGCTCTCAAGAAAGAGCGAGAATTTCTCAAGGACACATGGATTAGGGTATAAATTATGGGATAAGATTTGTATGAAATAGTACGAGTCTGTACTAGGTTATTATACAGCTGTACCAATAGAATTTTTTACCATAATTGGAAATGTACCATATTAGGATTTTCCCCTCCTATATAAAGGGGACCCCAATTATTTGTAAAGATGATCTCATTCACTGCAATAGAACATTCTACTCTGCTTTTCTCGTTTACTGTGCTCCACAATTATTCTTCGGCTTTATTGTTTTTATTTTATTATTCATACTTTATTGCTCTTAACTCACTTCAAGGTCCCTATTGCTCTAACAACACTGGTTTGGTCATTAATTCTTCTTACTTAAACCTAATATTACTTGTATCTTCACTAATGTTGGAATAAATCACATATCTTTAAAACTACAAATCATATTTAATTGATACACTTAGTCAGCACATAATATTAGAAGTAATTGAATCTCTCGTTTGATTGATGGTTGTTGTGCCATTGCTTGCATTTATTCCAAATCCACTTAGATTTGATATATGTGATCACATGTGGAAAAAATGGCCTAGTGGACACTCTATTCACGAGGGCCTAGTGTATGTCAGTCTGTCTAGCTGCTCTATCGGTGATGGCCTAACGGGTGTGAGTGTTATGGTTGCCGGGGCTAGATATACCCCGAAGTCGCAGGTATTTCATGTTCAGATTTAGATTTAGAAAGGTAAAACGTGGTTAATTTCCCCACGTGTAAAAGCCACTAGGGCAGCGGAAAGGGACAACCATCCTCACACTTGCGGGTAGCACTAGATTTATGTGTTTGGGAGAAGTGGTCAACCTTCCCGAATGTAAAACTCGTCTGGGTCAAAAAGTTTCCGGACTTTTTGAGTCCAGTAGGCAGGCTCTATTAATTTCTTTCCACTGGTAATTAACTACTTCTAGACCTTCCGTTATTCAGATACTATTTCTGTTATTCCGTGCTGAAGATTTTATTTTCAGTTTTAATTCAGGCTCATAACTTATTATTGGTGGGTTCAGAATTTTCAGCTAAACTTTATTAGCTATTTTTAAATGGATATATATAACATAAGAGTTATTCGTATTTGGTTTGTTTTAATAACCTTAGCAACACTTACAGTTAGATTGAACAGGGCTTTCTCGACGTGTAAGGTAGGTTGAGTGTTATCACGTCCCACCCCAATATCGGAGCGTGACAATGCTCAGCCTAAACAGTTATTTGTGGTTTTCATAATTGCAAATTATTTATTCAATCAATTAATAAAACTTAAACTCATCTACGGTTAACTCGAGTCCTGCTCTTAGAATAGATATAACAATGTGTCATGTGTCAAGATTGAACAACACAAGTAAACATCCTTAGTGAAAAAAATATGGGATGAAAACTATTGAAAACAATTGTTGCCAACATAAACCCGAATTGAATACAAAATATTTCCTTCTAAACATATTGTAATTAACATCATACTCATGTAGATAGTAGTGGCAATACTAACATTAGGAAGGATTGTACAAAAAGGATTTCTCCATGAACTTTGCAAACTCAGTAAAATCTATGACTCCATCACCATTATCATCAAAAGCGTTGACCATCCTTGTACATTTTTCCAAGTCACAACCTTCTTTTATACCTAAGCTGCATAGAACTCTTTGCAGCTCAAAAGCATCAATAAACCCATTTTTGTCCTCATCAAACATGTCGAAAACTTGTTTTACTTCCTCCAAACTAGGGTTCTCATCTAGCAATGTTAATAAACCATACGTACCAATATTTTCTTCTTCTTCTTCCCATGTAATGCCAAGCTTATCCATCACCACGTTTAGGTCTAGCTCACTCATGCAAATCTTTTGTTCATTCAAGAACAAGTCTGAGTTATAGGAATTGGAGTTGAGGAAATATTGTTCTTTGGAATCAAGTTGTTGATAGTTGTGAAGCTTCTTGCTTCTCCAAATAAGATTCCATTTATTGTAGATGGACTTTGAAAAAGCTTTCGCAAAAGTGTAGGCATTAGATAAAATGTTGTGAATTTTGATGATTGAGTTGAATATTTTGAAGTGTATAAGGACTACATTGGTACTTGGTTTGGTCTCCATTAGGATTTTGTTTTCTTCTTTGAACTTCTTCTAGATTGTTTGTGGAAGGTTAAGGCTTTGAGGGCTGGTTGAGAAAATGGGAAATTTGCTTCTAGTTATATAGGACATCGGTACAACATTTTAGTATTGTTTAGTGAATTACTAAAAGACTAGACTTAACCAAGTCTTGGTCTAGTCTTGGTGGAAATTGAAACGTAAAAGAAGGAAGACTAGGTTGTCTTGTAAGTTTAAACAAAAGTGACAACTGTTTATGGAACTTCCAGTTAAGTCATTTATAAGTTGTATGAGAGTGAAGCTGTGGCTGACCTAGAGAGGCGGAGAGGGGCTCGTCTAACCAGGGGCGGATTTAGGGGGCGCAAGGGGGTTCACGAACCCCCTTCGCCGAAAAAATACACTGTCTATATAAGGCAAAATCTGTTTTTTACCTCTATATATTAAGTTTTGAACCCCCTTAACACAATCTTAAAGTGTAGTTTAGTGGTCAAGGGGGGTCAAAATCTACATAAGGTCATGAGTTCAATTCCCATTAGATACAAATTATTTTTTGAATCCCCTTCGTGGAGATCCTGCCTCCGCCATTGCGTCTAACTCTATTCGTCGAAAAACTACCATTTTATATAAGGTTAAATTTTTCTTAATATATATATATATATAAAATGAAATTTCCGTCTCGGCCAGTAGTGTGAAGCACATATTATAATGAGAAACTCAATTATATATTCTAATGACGTTTATAAGAGGTTATTAGAGAAAGTTTGATGTTGAAACTTCCGATGAATTTCGCCTAAAGGAAAGAGGATATGAACATGGAGGACAGATGTTGAAGAAATGCTAGGTAAATATTGCGAAATTGCCAAAAGTTTAAATACCTTTTCGTACTAGCACAATTAATGTCCCTATTACAGTCTTCACCCGAAATTGACGTATTATCTTAGAGTTTAATTTATACGCATAGTCATTATATAAATTTGTTATCTATTATAGTTAGCACGTAACTTATTTTATTTTCAAGATTATATTTTCTCAATCCGACTATGTGCTATCGTTGACAGTGACCAAGTCAAGAATTTCTTTAAGGGTGCAAGTTTATACTATATATATGTATAACAAAATATTGTTTGATCTATTATTCTTTTTTTGTGAAAAATGTTCAATTGATCAACGTTGATTTTGTAACTCTGCCCATGTTGTTGTTGTCCAACCTATCTCTCTTTGCAACAAGTCAACAACATATTTTTAAAGAATATGATAAAAAATTGTTATAACCAATTAAAATATACTAATAATTAAATTTCTTCATACTACCAGTGCGCATGAGAGTAGATTACACAAAAAAAGAAAAAGAAAAAGAAATTAGGCTTGTTTAAATAACATTTTAGGAAAGTTTTTAGAGTATAACTCCCCTTTCTGGAACCAAGACTATGAAGCAATTGACTGTTTAGATAACTCTTTAGGGAAGTTCTTTGAAACATTATTCTAAGAAATTCTTTGGAAAGATATCTTGAACTTCAAATCAAATAAAATAATAATAATAATAATAATTAAAAAAAAAAGCGAGTTACACATTTGGTCAGCCGGCCAAAATAATTACATCCACTAGCTAATATACAAAAAAAATACATTGATAAGGCACTGGTCTATGGAATCAGAGATTTTGGGTTCGATCCCAGCAGAGTCGCAATTATTTTATTTTTGCTGGACTACTGTTATTGTTGTTGTTGTTGTTGTTGTGTATATACATTAATATACAAAAAATTATACATTTTGGTGGCTATTATTTTTAGAGAGGCTACAATGTATAGTTTTCCCCCCAAAAAAAAACGTGTTTCTTTGGGAGCAATTGCAATTGCACCCTAATAATTCGAGAACTCCAGGTTCCAACTTGGAATGGCAAACGAGCGGGTCAGGTCGGATATAGTTCGGATCGAAACGGGTAATGAAAAAACGGATAAATTATCCAACCCGACTCACATTTAATACGAATAAAAAAGGGTTAACCGGCGGATAATATGGACCCATATTATCCATAACTTCTTGAATATGATCACTTTTGGACAATTCCTAGTCTCCCAAATTTGAGGAACCTCCAATTTGAGGCTTTACAAATGTAAAAGTTAAACTCATTGATTATCCATTGGTTAACCATTTTCTAAATGAATAATATGGTTCTTATCCATATTTGACCCATTTTTAAAAAGTTCATTATTCAACCCATTTTTTAGTGGATAATATGGGTGCCACCAGTAGTTCCAACCAACCCTGCTTGTTGAAGGTGCATAAAGTACATACCCAGTATATTCTCATAAGTGGGGTGTGGGTAGAGTAGTATGTACGAGTCCTTACCCCTACCTTGTGAAGGTAGAGAGGCGCTTGTTGAAGGTGCATATTTAAAGAAAAACCTTCCAAGAACAAACTTTCAGTAGAACAAGGTCTACTCAAAGATTGGATTGATTGACATTAAGAACATAGCACCACTACAAATAGGCATGGGAGAAAACAAGGTCAAAATCAGAAGTCGGAAAAAATTGCAGACAGAAGAAAGTTGAGCAATCTCAAACGAGGCGTTATAGAAAGAAACATTTAAAATTCTATCTGTTTCAACAGGATAAAAGAGCAGGCAAGAAAATGCTCCTGAGCACATAAGAAGTTTCTGGCACATTCACATTGTGCAATCGTATAAGATAGGCATTCAAACTCCACGGATCTGTTTGGAAGCCATTGCTACGCTTTACTATGAATTTGTCAAACTAAACGAAATAACAAGAAGAAATTAAGCTAATGAAGAAAAGGAAAATTTTAGTTAGATCTTTAGGGTATGTTGTTCTTCGTCCCAAAAGGTAAACGAATCAAGAAGCAAAACTGCGTTAGTTTATCAAAAAACTCACAAAATAATCAATAGCGCAACTAAGGAAAACAAACAAATATAAAGCAAAAAATAAACAAAAGTAACCTGGAAGCACAACACCTCTGGAATTGGAAAGTTGGAAAATGAGAAGGAAAAAAATGAAAGAGATAGTGTACAAAATATAATATATTTGTCAAAATAAAAAGAATTTGAAGAAGTCACAATGTAATTATATGGTGTAATTACCCTCAGTTCTCACCTCCTCTTGAGAATTGAAGAGTGTAATTACAACCCCTCAATTACACCAAATTCCATGTTGACCAAGAAATTACTTGACCCGACAATTACACCCAATTAAACACAAATCCAATTTCTAAGTGGCTTTATAAACATGCTCTAAGAGACGTTTATTGTTCCAGAATAAATCTGTCTTAAGAATCATTCATCCTCTAAAAGGAAACACAATGAAGGTAAGAGACAGCATATATAGATTTTGAGGCTGCTTTGACACCCCAATTCTCTTCCACTCTAAGTAGATAAAATTATCATAATTAGGCAAAAGAAACTAATTTTCAGCAGTGAAACCATGTAATATTCTAGAGGACATGCAAACACAATAATAGGGGACTTGATTTTAAGTTAAAGATTAGCTTTCAGATGCACAACATGCAAAGATGGTTTCAGGATAATTAAACAAATGGTCATCTAACTTTTAGCCAATTGAGAAAAGTCTACTACTCCTGGTGCATGAACAAATTGGTGCATGTTTAAAAAAAATGATCATCTTACGAACAGAAAAATCAACCTGAATCTTTTATAAATAACTCAAAACATCTAGTGATCAATCCTTCAGAAGGGTGAAAAATCACTAAGATTAATCCTTAACCTAAAGCAATATAGACAGTCATAGTAAACCTATTAAGGTGTCGAATTGCACCCCCTCATCATCCATGATTTAAGAATATGCAACCAAGCCATGTTACAACAAGCTTTCAGGATGACCGTAGTCAAAACTAAATTCAGAAAATAAGAAAAGCAGGACTACTGAATATATAAGCAGCAACAATGAGGAACAGGCTGATTTTAGAGCTAGTAAGTTTACCATCAGCATTTGAGATGGCATGGTCAATTAAGGCAAATTGAAAATTCTTTCAAATAGACTTCAACGGAATGAAGGATCCTTGATCCCAGATGATTCTGGACACCATTGTAATTGAGTTTTATTAATGGGCCATCATATAATCATATTTAATGCATTCAAATAAATAAAGATGGCTGTAAAAGTACAAATCACTGTCATCCAAATACAGTAAACTTAGGTGTCATCTAGTCATCAAAATACTCACCAAAGGGAACGAACTATACCTTGTAAGCACGCTCAAATAGTACTCCCTCCGGTCCACAATAAGTGACCATTTTACCTTTTTATTTTGGTCTAAAATAAGTGTCCATTTACATAATCAAGAAGAAATTAATTTTATTTTTCCAAAATTTGCCTTGTTTACATATTCTAATGTGTCAAGGTAACAATTAATTAAGGTTAATTTAGTGAACACATCTTTTTTTCTCTAGAAGTTTGTGTTTCCTTAATGGGTGTACGGTGTGCCAAAGATAAAATGGTCACTTATGGTGGACAGGAGGGAGTACCCTTTTATATTCCGACTTATATGACAATCCAAAATGCTTGAAATCATTCTATTTCCATACAACTTTCACAACTTTAAGAATTTAAAAGTCATCAACAATTAAAAATGTTGAACTTTGATGTGATGTTAAAAGGGCTAGATGTGCCCCTCCACTATCAGAAATTAGTTATAAGTAGCCTCCGTTATACTATTCGAAGGTTTTTATCCCTGCCGTTACCCATTCAAAAATATATCCACCCCTCAATCTAACGGCCAGCTCGGACCCACTTATAAAATGACACGTGGAAGCCATCTGTTTATCCGGGTCACTAGCAACCCATAACTTTAAAATACAACACATCTATCCGGATCCAAAAACGTATTATGTCCCTACAGAAAATTCTTTATGTAGAAATATATTGAGATTCTTTTGAAGACTCCAGAACCATCTGAGCTCCATGATCACCGCTGACAAAGAGCCACCGGACTATCGTCGGGAAAAGGCTATTCACCAGAAAAACAGAGGCGGCAACGACCCCCTCACAAAATACTCCATCTTCACGTCCATTCAACCAACAATTCTCCATTGCCCACCACAAACGTATTCTCCCATTTCCAACAAAGAAATACCATTAAAATCACTAATGATACAGCCAAATTTCAAGAAAATATCCCATTGATCCAAGAATGAGTCATGAATTATTTCATCTGACCATCTCCAAAATAATCCCAACTTTTTGATTCAATAAAGTACCCAAAGAAAAGGGGAAAATTGAGAAAAATAATCACCTTATTATCAAGGCTTGCAATGTACAAAATAAAATAAGCTATTTAACAATTTGAAAAGGAGTAGCAGCTGAAACATCAATCTCACTGACCACAAGCTGCTATCAACTCACAATCCCAACAAAAATTCAATAAAGAACTCAACAAACCCCATTTCAAAATTACTACTCCAGTAAAAATGCAGAGAAATTACCAAATCACAAAGAAGTATAAGTAGGAGAAACAATTGGAGCATTGCATGTGAAGAAAAAAATAACACCAAGACAAAGGCTCCTCTATTTGCTCTTCAATTGGCGCTGACTTTAACATTCAATGAACTTCTGTGCAAATCTTTGGATATATCAAATCAAATTGGTCTAAGCCATTGGAATTTTAAACTCCAAGACCCATCTCCATTGATTTATGTAAACTTTTGAAATAAATTTTCTGTATGATTGAGTGGGTTTTCCAGCTATTAGGTCCATTGGTGCTTTAAGAATTGACAAAAATTAAAATAAGGTGAGAAGGTAAGAAGAAACGAAGAAAGAAAAGGAAAAAGGGAACACAGAGGAGGGGAATTGGGGGACGAAGAACACTAGGAGAGAAAGGAGGAGGGGAAGGAGAGGAGATGGGTTTCTGGGGTGCTGTTCGGGTTCGGGGCTGGATCGGGTGGATTTGGGTCTAAGAGGAAACATAGTTTAGGTGTTTATAATGCTGACATGTGTCTATCAGAATGGGTCCGTTAGATGGAGGGGTAGATATATTTAAATGAGTGGCAGAGACAAAAACCTTCGAATAGTATAACGGGAGCAATCTATAACTAATTTCTAATAGTAGAGGGACACATCTAGCCCTTTTCCGTTTTATTAACTTTCTAAGCACTAGTTTAATGTTTTATTCCACTATTATTAATATAATATAGAAGTCAAATTAACATCTTATCCGTCCAGTCAAATACCATCATATAAAATGAAAAGGGTAGAGTATTTGGTAAGAGCCTCAGATAGCTAAAGAGATGAATACTAACTTCAATAGTCAAGACAGAGCAATAAGTCCCAGTATTATCAGTATAAAACAGGGCAGTGCCTGATTGTAGTAGTAAAATCTCCTATCACACCAAGGAAATTCACATTCCTCTACCATAGGTGTGGTTATTACTAAATTCGCTTGCCAGTATACAGAGTACACATCACAAATGCAATATTTGAGAAGCAGGTAGCAGATGGATATTCTCACCCAATACTTAAAAATGCTATATCATCAGCAGATGATATTCTTTATCAAGAACAAGAGCATATCAAACTTCGAATCACCTTCCAGATGAAAGAATAGAAGTCATGAACATAGAATACCATATCAAGGATAAAAATCATTACTTTAACGCAAAATGCACATCGAACCATAACACATGTACCTAAACATTTAGTATTAGCAATCTAATGATTCTCCAACATATACAAAAATCGACCATATATTGATAGAAAGAGTTCACTTACTGCTACAATTGTTTATCCTCCAATAAGCGCAATCGCATTTCAATCAATCTCGCATTGAATTCCCCATCACTAACCTTCAACATCTCAGATAAGGATAGCGAAAACCCATGCTCTACCAAAAGCCTGTGCCGAGGCTTAATCTTCCCTTCAAGACTAAACGAAAAGTACTGCGGAAACTTCTTCAATTCCCCTAAATCCCCATTCATTTCCTTCAAAAAGTACTCAACTTTAGGCCTAAAATTCTTGTCAATGCTAAATGTCAACAACCCAGGTGACCTCAAAACCATATTCACCACGTCGTTGCGTTTAAACCCTAAAGTCAACATGTAATCAACCTTAGGTTTCAAAGTAAGCTCGACACTCGAAACAAGTAACACAGTGGTTTGAGAAGTGATCCGATTGGGACCCACGAACCCGAATTCCTTCAGGAATTCAAATGTGGGTTTCAATTGATCCTCAACACTACAAACTAGGATTCTTGGACAACGTATAATAGATTTACGAATGTCATTAAAGGGGATAACGACGTCGTTTAATAAGAAATCAAAAATCGGGTAAAGGTCTATATAAGGGTCGGATGTTAAAAGCTGAGGATGCATATCAAGTATTCGACCAATTGCCGAGCGCTCAATGCCCATAGACGCAAGACAAGTTTCAACGGTTTTGATTGTATCGAGTGTTGCTGATCGAAGATGAGGGTTTAGTTCAAGGACTTTTGTGGGGTTGATCTTGAGTGCTTGAAGATAAAGTATTTTTTCACGGAATTTGAGGCCAGTGTCAGTTGTAGTTGGGGTAGGGTGGGTGGGGATGTGAAGGGATTTGAGAGAGGTTTTTGTGGGTTTTGGAGAAATGGAGCAGATGGGGAATGGAGGGGAGGGGTTTGGGGTGAGGGAGGGAAGGGGAAGTAGGGTTTTGGGAGGGTTTTGTAGCCATGTTAGCATCTCCGGGAGCAGAAGTGAAGTTGAAGGGGAAAGGAAAGGATTGTATTGGCATGCTTTGTATTGGAAATCTATCTAAGGAGGAAACTTCAGAGTTTTTTGAGTTTGTGTTTTGTTATGTATCTGCTTCTATAGCCCAATCTCCTTATCCCCTATTGCTGCCCAATTCTTTGTTTGCGAAATTGAGCGGATTTGATCTCACGCGTATACTTTTAGGGCATATTTTGGACCATTAAAATTTTTAAGCTTTTATGCTATTGAGTTATCTTATTGGGTTTATAGCAATATCATAGAAGTTTGTAACGATAAAACCTCTTTCAATTAGAATGTTTTCCTTCTATAACAAAGAGAAAAACTTGAATCAATTGTTGGAATACCTATATATCATAAATGTCTCCACCACCTTATATGCCTCAAAACACCAGCCACTCTCGGTATCACAACACCAAAAACTAAACAATAGAGAAGTTTAACTGCCATAGGAAATAACAAATCATTTGTATCAATCAAATGTGTCGAATCTTAACTCTATAGCAAAAAATAAATTACTTACTCGCTCCATACAAGCAAAATATGATACACTTTGCTTAGGAACAAAGAGAAGCATGGTTCAGGAATAAAGAGAAGCAAAGTGTACAAAAATCTAAATCATTTGTTGGAAGAGAAACGTATACAGTGGCCATCGTATTTGAGAGATTTTATCATTACAAACTTTCATTATATTACTGTGAACCAAACAATATAACTCACTAACATAAAAGCTTAAGAACTTTAATGATCCAAATATGCCCTCTAAGTATACCCGGTAGTAATTGAGAGCAAAAATTTCAATAACACTGTTTCAATATTCTTTGTAAGCAGATACACGAATTAGCTTGAGTCGTGCTGGGCACTGTCCTAAGAAACTATTTCAACAGTGTGAAATGTTGCTTCAGGATTAAACAAGCTTACCTCTATTTTATTTAGAGGATACAGGAATCAGCAAAATTAAATATCACAAACCCAGCTAGCAAGTAGGAAAAGTAAATAAGAAAGGAAACAACTAATGTTTTATATTGGACAACAAAAGAAGAAGGGAGGTGTGAAAGGAAAGGAGAGGAATGATGTTTTTGTTGATGGTCATTTTCTTGTCAAGTGAGAGCCTATTTATAGTTATAGTTGCATGAAACTTGGCTTTTGCATGGCAAAAACATGGATGAACATTTGCCACTTTTTAGACTTCTTTTGCCACTAATTATAACCTTCTAGGAGGGCTAAAACACTTGTCCAAATGGCATTAAAATATTGCCACAATCCCCCACTATTTTAAAGACCTTTTGAAATAAACTTGCTGGATTTGTGTGGTCTAAATGTAATAAGTTTGGTGTCTTCTGGACTATGAACCAAACTTAGATCAATAAAAATTTAACTCACAGAATTACTGGTGAAACATAATATTTCTATGAACCAATAACTCTCATTGTAAATCAGAGATTTTATCAATCACATTTCGCCCCCGGTAATTTTGCTATTCAACGTGATTTTGCGCCCAATAGGTCATGCGCGTGCTTGGTTATTCATGAGAGCTCTAGAGACTAGGCCAAAATCTCATAGGAGCGGCCTGCTCCACTCTCATATAGGTGAATTTATCAAGTGTATACTGCTTTTAAATACACCATCCATAAGGACTATGAATTTCATTAAGAGTTATAACTCAGCCTCTCAATTAGTAGCAGTCAAGCACTCTCTTTTAGTGCTTCAGTGCAAATATCGACTTGTTATTACCCATATGAACCTACTTCATGGGATCTCCAATCACATAGGTTGGTTACCATCTCTATTGACAACATGTCGGCCTTAACTCCATCTCTTTTGAGGTTTGAAGAATTAATTTTCTTTTCACGGGTTTAGTTAGAGGGTCGGCCAAATTTATCTCTGACTTCACATAGTCAATGAAAATTATTCCATCTCTCAACAGTTGTTTTATGACATCATGTCTCAATTTCATGCGTCTACTTTTACAATTATAAGATTTATTCTTTGCAATAGCTATTGCCGCTTGACAATCACAATGCATAGTCACAAGAGGCAATACGTCATTTATTAAAGGGATATTAGCTAAGAAGTTTCTTAGCTACTCGGCCTCAGAACCAGCTAACTTCAGAGCTACAAACTCTTATTCCATAGTCGATCTAGCAATAATCGGTTGTTTAGCTGATTTCCACAATATTGCACCACCACCAAGGGTGAATACATAACCACTAGTGGATTTTGTCTCATCTGAATCAGAGATCTAGTTTGCATCACTATACCCTTCTAAAGTAGAAGGAAATCCACTATATAGGATACCATAATTCATGGTTCCTTCAAACATTTCATTAGTCTAGCTAATGCAAACTAATGATCTTTGTTGGCATTATGAGTATATCTACTCAGTCTACACACTGCATAGGCTATATCAACCCTTGTAAAATTCATTAAATGCATCAGACTCTCAATAATCTGAGCATATTTAAACTGAGCAACTGGGTCACTATTATTCTTTTTCAACTTAGAGTTAGCATCAAAAGGGGTGCTCACAGATGTGACATTAAAATATTCAAACTTCTTAAGAAGTCTCTCGATATAATGTTCTTGTGACAATATTATTCCATCTTCATTCCTTATAACTTTAACTACCAATATTGTATTTACTTCATCCATATCTTTCATATCAAAATTAGCAGACAGAAATAATTTTGTACTTTTCACAATATTTAAATTTGTACCAAATACAAGCATGTCATCAACATACATACATATTATTACATAATCATTGTCTACCACTTTAGTATAAACACATTTATCTACCTTAACTGAAGAAAAATCGTCTCTAAGTAAGACTTGTTCAAATTTCTCATACCACTACTTAGGAGCTTGTTTAAGGCCATAAAGAGATTTAATTAATTTACAAACTTTATTTTCTTGTCCAGGAATGACACAGCCTTCAGGTTGAACCATATAAATATCTTCTTCTAAATCACCATTTGGAAAAGCAATTTTCACATCCATTTGGCGGATAAAAAGCTTACGGATTGTAGCTAAGGCAATTAAAATTCGAATAGAAGAAATTCTAGTCACTGGTGCAAATGTATCAAAATAATCTATATTTTATTTTTGAGAAAAACCTTTTGCTACTAACCGAGCTTTATATTTATCTAAAGATCCATCAGTATTAAATTTCTTTTTGAAAATGCATTTACAACCAATGGGCTTTGTACCAGGAGGTAAATCAGTTAAAATCTATATATTATTTTTATTAATAGAATCAATTTCAACTTTTATTGCCTTTTTCCAATATTTAGCATCTGAAGAAGATATAGCTTCAAAATAATTTGATGGTTCATTATCGACAAGAAAAGTTTGAAAATCATTTCCATATGAAAAATATTTTTTGCTGGGCCTTTTACTCCTTCTTAATTCCTCATTAGAGGTAATTTCACTATTTGTTTCAACAAGTGTATGAGAATTTTTATTAGATAGTGGAAAAATATGTTCAAAGAATTTTGCATTCTTTGTCTCAATTATAGTATTGCAATCAAGCACATCACTTTTTAAAATAAGAAATCTATATGCAACACTATGTTTAGCATATCCAATAAGCATGCAATCGGCAGTTTTAGAACCTATTTTTCTCTTTTTAGGTTCAGGCAAAAGAACTTTAGCAAGGCACCCCCACACTTTTAAATATTTCAAGTTAGGTTTCCCTCCACAATTCATACGGAGTTTTGCTAGTTCTTCTATGTGGTATTCTATTTTGTAAGTGACATGCAGATAAAATAGCTTCACCCCATAAGTTATCATGAGCATTAGAACTAACTGGCATATAGTTCATAATCTCTTTCAATGTTCTATTTTTCCTTTCAGCTACTCCAGCAGCAAACTTCTCTGGTAAAGACATCCCCTCGGCCTTCAAGTCTTCTAACAATTTTTGAAATTCGTTGATTTATACGTTCATCTCTTTATCATCTCTCATCTGTCACTGATAAAATTTTCCTGCTACAAATTTTTGTTTTGTAGCATCTTCAGTAGTGAATTTTTTAATTAAAGCTTCCCAGATAGCTTTTGCTTCTTTATAACTGCAATACACGTCAAACAGTTCATTAGAAATAGTTTGCAATATTGTATGACGGCATACCTTGTTGGCATATTGCCATGATTTCATTATTTTATTATCAGCGTCTGCACTATGTTGTGGATGTAGTAGTGCATGTGCAACACCATGGACATCAAGCAGTGAGAAAATACGTTCTTGCCAACGTTTGGAATTTTATTGGCAAAAATTTCAATATTTGACACATCTGGAAATGGCCTGGCATATGGCAGTGCAACTGGGGCTGGAGCAGCGGACGTAACGCCAATATTGCCGATATCAGGAGTATTTTCAGCATCGGTGTTATTTGCCATAGTTTCTTAGATTGTAGTAATTGAGAGCAAAAATTTCAATAACATTGTTTCAATATTCTTTGTAAGCAGATACACGAATTAGCTTGAGTCGTGCTGGGCACTGTCCTAAGAAACTATTTCAGCAGTGTGAAATATTTTTCCAGGATTAAACAAGCTTACCTCTATTTTATTTAGAGGATACAGGTGTTACGACCCTAAACCCGAACCCGGTCGTGATGACGCCTCTCGTGAAGACAAGGTCAGTCGACACTTCCCATTTCAGTTTAAGCATTCGAACAATACAAATTTAAGTCTAAAATATGATAAATAATCCGACATTTAAGTAGTCAACAGTATGAATATGCGGAAGAACAACCCAACACAGCCGATACCGGGGTGTCACTAGTCATGAGCATCTAAAAATCCGGAATACTCAGAAAAAATCTACAGAGTTTAATACAAAACTAAAACAAGGAGAAATAAGATAGGGAAAAAGCTCTGGGACGTTGCGAATGCCGGCAACTACCTAGAGAATCTTCGGATCCGCCTGAGCTGGAAAGATCAACACTCGGGAGCGGGACCAGATATGCCTGAATCTGCACACAGGGTGCAAGGAGTAAAGTGAGTACTCCAACTCAGTGATTAATAATTATAAATAAATACTGAAAGCATGAAATCACGTAAGGCACATTATAGGCTATAATGAAGCAGTAAAACAGGTAAGAACAGTGGTCCAGTAAAAATATGTAAAATCGTATAAGTTCAGTTTAAACTTCAAGAAATGCCTATTCAATAATTAAACAGGTAAATGA